ACAATAAACAATGCAATAAATTGTAACAAAGTATCAGTATTTAGTGCGTATTTTTGGACTATACGCCATCTAATTATCCAACGAGGTGACTTCCGAAGACTGTCGAGAATTATGTGACCCGTACAAGAAATATTTTTGTGTAGGGCAAATCAGTCAAGGAAATTGTTCTTCCTCGTGGAGCTCTTGTTTCACTTTTCAATTTGGGCATTCTTTTGTCTTCTATAATTGAACATGCTGAGCACATGCACAACCCATCTTCAACAAAGGGTCAGACCAAAGGTTGTATGCATATCGACCCAAATGAGATCGATTTATTGTCTTGTAAAACAATTATATATCAGCGATATTTTAGAAAAGGCATTATCTACGATTGAGACAAAAATTTTAATTATTTTTAGAGATTCTTTTTGTTTCAAGTAATAATAAAAATGGAATTTTGAAATACTATTTCGTTTTTAGCAGTCAGTTTGGTCCAAATTTGTCAAAAGAAGCTCAAAACATCGCTGATGTCGTATTGACTTGCAAGTCAATAATTTAACCTCATTGAATCCATATTCATACGACTTTCAATTCAATTTAACCCCTTAGTTAGAGATGGGTTATGCATGTTAAAGGTGTGTGCAGCTATTAAAAGGAAAAACAATGTTAAAGTTGACATTTGAATAAGGATGAACCATTTGGCTGACTGATTCGATAAAAAAAAATGACATTCGTATACAGGTAAAAACGATGATTAACTTATTTTTTAAACCTATGAAATGAAATAAAACAGACCTAGAAAAATCCAATTGCACGTGCTCGCTATCTTTTTATATTGATAGTTATGTTTATTTCGGGTTACAATGTACAAGGTCATGTTTTTCTCTGACTGTTACTGATGCCTTTACACTAAATCCAATGGATGTTGGATGTGTGCTGATTGATACTTTAGTCTTAGATACATGATTATTCTATTAGTTTTACTGTTACACCGCTGTACTAGGTTAGGGGAGGTTTGGCGCCCGCTAACAAAGGGTATGGGTTTTGCTCATTGTTGAAGGCCGTACGGTGACCTATAGCTGTTAACATCTATGTCCTTTGGTCTCTGGTGGAGGATTGTCTCATTGGCGATTATACCACACATCTTCTTATTTTTATATATGACCGTCGCCAGTCTTCGCAGGTCATCGCGATGGTTAATTAGATTGCGTCTAGACCAAAATACACACGAAATGATAATACATATTCCCGAGTCCATGCATTGTTAATTGTCTATTTGAGACCTTTTGTAATTTGGATATACGTTTTAGTATCAAATCTGTGAACATGAATTTGACAACTAATGGCCCTTTAAGCCTATTAAAAAAGTGAATTATTACATCAATATTTCGCTTTTATTAATGTTTGAAGGAAAAAAATCATACTTTGATATGTGTCTAAATACCAGCTAAAGTCTCTTTTAATGAACTTTAATATTTAAAAGATATTTAAAGATTGAACATAAACATTATTCAATACACAAATTATTGCATTGGTTGATGATACTGTTATTTTGTTTTACGCAACTAAACATATAAATATACAATATTAGGTCAATGTCAGAAAAATATAAACTTTTTTGTATGAGGCTGAGAAACTGGGGAAGGGCGAGGTTTTACCGAGCCCTTCCCCGGTTTTGTGCCGAATACAAAAAAGCTTATATTTTTCTGACATTGACCTAATATTGTTTTTATACTGCACCTTAACTTAATACATTGATAGCTTTTAAATTGTAACACAAATTTCAAACTTATTTTCATCCCTAAATGAACCTCTGATTGTGGAAAAAGTGATCCATGATGAAATTGACATTGTACAAAATATAGCTTTGTTACTATATTTAGGAAATAAACACAACTAGTTGCAGTATAAATTAATATAATGGATCGTCTGTATTCTAGTGACAGTTACCTGCTGTTTATGATAATTCATCAGACATTTTCCTCTTGCGGGTATCTAATAACAAGTGTGAATTCGTTAGAATTTGGATTATAAACTTGATGGCATGTTAGTTAATTTTATTTTCAATTAAGATGACTCTCCTAAAGTATAAATTTAAATTTTAGGGCTAAATTACTTGTCCACTTATAATACAGCTATGTTGACTTATTTATAGATTTTGTTTTTATTTATCTACTATAGTTTTCCCCAAAAACTAATGTGGCCAAATGGTATAAAATTTTCACGACGATTTTAATATACATCTTTCATGACGATTTTAATATTAAATACTTTTTTAGCGGTATATTTATCATTGCCATAAAGCGCGGAGGTTTGGCTAGCCACAAAACCAGGTTCAACCCACCATTTTTTCTTAAAATGTCCTGTACCAAGTCAGGAATATGGCAGTTGTTATTTAATAGTTCGTATCTATGAATGTTGCATTGTTGTTTGTTTTTTGTTGCACTTCTGTGTTCTGTTATTTCGTCGTTTTCCTCTTATAGTTGAGGTGTTTCCCTCGGTTTTCGTTTGTAACCCGGATTTTTTTTCTCTCAATCGATTTATGACTTTTGAATAGCGGTATACTACTGTTGCCTTTATTTATCACGACTACTGAGAACCATTTTTTTCGATGAATTTTGGGGTAAAATCTCTTTATATTAACTTTGACATCAGCCTTTTTATTTATATATAGACATGCAATTATATCCTCTTTATTTTCCAGATACGAATAAATCCATGAAAGCGATTCAATGTCGAACAAATAACCTTCATTAGTAGCGATCGAGACCATACAGTATAGGAATCAAAATTACATAAAACATTTTGTTAACCTCAAAACGACATGGATCTAAATAACCAAGTCGCCAAAACATATCAAGACTTTATATGGGAAATATGGAAGGCAACGGAAGCCACTTGGTGCAAAAGAATTATATATAGTATATCTTGCATACAATTTTTTGCTCAATAAGATATATTGGTGTTAAGGATAACAATACGTACGTTTATATAATTTAAGACTGGCAGTCATTATTTTGTTCGGTCAATAACCAGATAAAATGTTTTTAAATTAAACCTAACGAATTATTTTCTCAAACACGAGGATCTTTTTTTATTCACGTACTTGACATATTTAAAAAAGACTAACGGTACCGCATTTCAACAATTAATATCTCTTTCGTTATGCGCGAGGCCACACTATATGACAATCCAAACAATAATTCAAAATTTGAAGAGCATATAAACCAAAACGGACAAAAAGTCTATCAAAATCCGGGCAACGTTACAGATGAATTTCCAGTATGCCGCCAAGTCGGAAAAAAATGAATATGCATTGAGCAAATTTATTTGTTTTCATCCTCGTCCTGATGTACTTTCTTTGATTGAAAATATGTCTTTAGCTCATATATCTTGATTATTCAAAAATTAAAGATACAACGAACATTATAAATTATGCTCATCTTGCTGACTTATATATTTTTCACTTGAAACAAGACAATGCTTAAAGATAAAGTTAAAGTCTATTTCAAATCATGTTATGAAATACCTATGTCACAGACGACTAAGGATATGGTCCACTAGCCACAATCCCGTCCACTTGTGCTTGTTTGTGACACTCTAGAATGTGATAGATTTTATTTAAAGTTATTTGTGTTATTTTCAGTTTTGTTAACGGTGTTGTTTTTGCGCTTTTCGTGTTATGTGTATATCCGTGTTGTTATATCGATAGCAATCTTGTTACACAAATGTTTAGAAAAATCATGAGATTGATCTGAAACTTTCATATGTTATCATGTACTCGATTTAGAGAATGTACATGCACCGATAGTATGTAAATTTGGTTATTTCTCAGGGTTAGATAAGATACATTAAACTAACTGCCATTGTGCAATTCCTCATAATCACTTGAAAAGAACCATCAACGGATTTTTAGATCATTCACACGATAGGTGCCACTAAGGGGACAATACCTACTGACTCTCTTGATAACCTGAAACCATCATCGTTTTTATTGGGCGTCGTGTTGTCAATCTTCAATTAGTTTTCTGTGCCTTTTATTTTGTTGTTGACTGTTGTTTATCTGTTTGCATTTTTTTCTTTTGACCTTAATTTGTCTATTTTTCTTTGACATAAGTTATGTTTTTATTGCTCTAGCTATTGATATATTCTCCGTTTTTTGTATTTTATGACGGTAGTACAATAAAAGATTTTGTAGTCGATATTTCATCATTTGAACAATATATAAGAAGCTCGAAAATTTTTTATGTGACAAAAAATTGGACAATTGCTAAAAGGTAATTGTTTGTCATTAGAATGACTCGGAAACTCATTTTTGTGACTTATTATATGTCTCCTCGTATAGAATTGAACAAAGTTTAACATTCAATTGTCGTATCAATCATAGACATACATTATGTGAGCAATTTTGATGTGGGTACGACATAGCCACTTGATTGTTAAAATGGACTATGTAAAACATGCATAAACTGAAAAATAATTTGATGCGTAATACATATATGATACTTGGAGGGGACTTTGATTGCTGTCTTCAATCGTAATAACTTTTTTTCGAAACAATCTGTTAAAAAAATAATCAACAGTGAATTGTAGAGAAAACATTAATTTTTTTCATGTTAAAGCATGTGATTCATATCAATGGTTTCATCCAACTTATCCAAACTTTTGATACAATTACAGAGCGATCATCCGAAGATTGCATGAACCGATATGTATGAACAATTTCTTATCACATTTCTTTTAATATTTCACGAGAGTAAAATTCATTTTGTAAAAAAAGTATGCTAAACTATTGACCTGGTCTATAACAATGCATGGAAAACTTACAATTTCACAGATTTATTAAACAATGAACATATACGTTTCATCAATGTCTTATCTACATAATAAATGGACCGTCGACACTTACACACATATAAAGAAACACTGTACATATTATACACATATCTTATCTCTCGTATTGCAATCCTGTTATGAGTATTCCCCCTTGACTTGAAACATTGTGAAATGCTTCAAATTACTACAAGTTCATTTGTGTTAAATTAAACCGTAACCTAAAACGAAATACAGAAGGAAAATCTCTGTTTGGAATGAGGCGATGAATTTATAGTACTCACATTGGAGTATTTATGTTACTCTGCAAATTGAACTAAAATTTAGTTGGCCCTAATACCGTTTTGATTGTTTTTATTTCTATTGAATATTAGATAAATCAAATTAATGATCTTTTCAGCATGCTTAACAGGCAATACTATTTAAAAAAAGATTCAAAGATGTAGGTTTAAACTTTTCATTTATACACAAATGTAATCAAATCAAACAACAAACACAAATGAAGAATCAATGGAATTTAGCTAGTAATCGTTTTCACAAGCTATTAGTTCATTTATAGAACTATTCTGCTTATCTCTCACTTGTCTCCATCTTTTTATCTGACCAGGTAGAGCATTGGATTTTCTTTTGCTTACAGATGAACGTCATATAAAGCTGCGTGTCCATTTTCTTTATTGCATATCAATAATATTTTGTGTTCTTTACTGTAGTAGACTGCTTCTGGATCTTTTAGACCGTCCTGTTCAGTCAGAAGGACCTTTTGCCTCATTCCATCTTTAGACACAGCTATAAGGCTATTGGACTGTCCACCAACTACATATACATTGTCTCTCTCGTCTGCTGTAATTCCTGCAGAAGTATTGTTCTGTACTTTACTGCTAGAATACTTCCATATCTGGGTTCCATTTGTGTCTAAGCTAAATATATTTCCGAGCATGTCAGTGTAAATAACGTTTTCTGAAATAGTCAAGATATTATAAACGTCCTCAACATCCACTTGAATTTTCTTTATAATACGTCCATATAGATCTAGAACGGTGATCCCTTCACTATAGGATACAACATACAACTTCCTATTACAATGCGATATTCCCCAGCACCATTTTTTAACAGCGTTTTTAATATTTCGTTCAATTTGATTGGATTGGATGTTGACGATAGAAATAAAATTTTTGAATCTAAATGTAACGGCTACTGCACGGCGATCAATAATAGTTGCATCAAATGGTTTACCAGGAACTGCAATGTCGCGAGAATGTGATCCATTCTCATTGTAAATCATCAGACGTTCTTTAATGTGATTCAATATCATTACCTGATTATTCGGTAATATCAAACAGCTAGTTATTACGCACGGAGTACATTTCAGATCAATCCCTGTTCTAAACTGTAATTGGATTCTATCGATACTATCTACAGACGTGATTTTGAATTGGGCTTGATCTACCTTTGGTTCGACAAATGAAGCGCCACCGTTTGTGGTAGCAATACAAGTTGTGCCATATTCATCTAAGTTCACTATACTAGTTTGAATTTTTAAATTTTGTTCAAATTTAAGTATAAAGGATGGCATGTCAGTGACTAACGAATGGACTACTTCTTTTTCGTTGTTCAAGCTTCCAGTCATCATTTTCATTCCGACAAAGGCTTGCACATCAGATAAAAATTTCTTCATCTGAAGAATTCGATCTTTCATATTTCGTAGTTGTGTTTGTTTTTTGATAAATGTACTTTTTGTCGACGATATCTCTTGTTGACACTTTCTGTATTTATCTGTCAATTCGATCAATGTTTTTTCTTGCAGTCGCTCAAAATACTGAATAATTTCTTCATGTTTTGTCTTTACTGCTGTCTTTATATTATTGTCACTATCTAAAATACTATTCAGATTTTTGTCTTGCATCTTTATTCCGTTTTCGATATTTTCCAGTAGATTGTCAATATTTTGTTCTAATTCATTCAGCGCAGTAGATGTTTTGGCTCCCTTTGCTGCGTTCTGTAAAGACAATAGATCTGGACATTTACTGTGTTCTGACTGAACACATTCAATACAAATCACGCTGTCATGCGCTTTGCAGAAATATTCAAACACTTTCTGATGAACTTGACAAACCTGTGGAACTGCTAATTGGTCAACAATTTGATATTCTGAAATTGATACTAAATGATGATGTCTTGATAGTTTTGCAGCTTTATGAGGTCTTAAACATTCGTCACAATACCCTTCCGCACATTCAGAACACCATTTTGCTGCCTCCGTAGCAACATTTTCATACTCACAGGGTCCGCAGTTAATTGTTACTTTACTCGAACCATCCATCTTCTATGAACTACAACAAAACAGTCATTCGTAAAATAAAATCATATATGTGTAGGTATCAATGGTGCCGTTATTAATAGTACGATATTTTCTTGGCGTTTCTATCGCGCATCGTAAATCAATAGGAACGAAAGGAGATTCAGGGAAAATATCAATGAGATAGCAACCCATCGATATAAAAGAAAGGCATCTAGAGGTCAAGGTACGGTTTTTGATATGTCGTCTATGTCTTGTGTTTTCATTGGCACAAATATCGATTTTGTCATCAACAAATTAAAACATAACTAAATTTGTATTCTTTTCAAATGTTTTTTTTTGGGATGTATAAATACACATCCACGTTCATTTTCTATACAGAGATTGCTTTATCTATATATAACATTATACATATTTATTATAAGGTTAAATCCTAACTATCCTACTGCCTGTCGATACTTTTATTTTGGCATTGCACAAGTCATGTCTTCTTTGACTGTCCATTACATTAAAATACTAAACCCCTGGGATGTGTTTTAGTTGATTTTAGTCTCTGATGCATGATGTTTTATTATCAATTGTTTTTTGGCTTTTAACTAGCTTTCAGTAACTGCGAGTACTCTCAAATCGTACGTTCGTGTTAATTTAACCTGTTGATACAATTTATAATGTAGTTTTGTTTTTAAATGTTTACTTATTTTGTGTTATATCTCGTCTCACTATTTTTGATATATACCACCTTTGATAAGTATTTAGTATGACGATAAATTTTCACTTCTGATCTCGTACTTTGAACACCAAATTTATTTATTTTGTAAAAAATATTTCCGTACTCCATGTACTCCTTACAACAAAATTATTATATTTACCAGTGAACTTTATTTTATTAAACGCCATTTTGTCCAAGGTTATAGTTGTCTTACTGATATTGTTTAACATCTCCCTCCTTTTTTATCAATATTGTATTTACATTGTGTCATAGATCAAATGTATTCGTTCAGTGTATGTTTACTTATTTTTGTTAATATGTCTTTTGATTGAGTTAAGCCATTTCAATTGATATTTTATAGTGTGTCTTTCTATGTTGTGATGTTACATTCAGGTTATGGTGAAGGTTGGCGCCTGTTAAAACGTTTAAATCCTCTGCATTTGTTTGCACCTTTCCTAAGTCAAGAACCTGTTTTTTCAGTGTTGTCGTTTGTTGATGTGTTTCATAAGTGTTTCTCGTTTCTCGTTTTTTATATAGATTAGACTGTTGGTTTTCCTGTTTGAATGGTTTTAAACTAGTAATTTTTGGGGCCCTTTATAGCTTGCTGTTCGGTGTGCGCCAAGGCTCCGTATTGAAGGCCGTACTTTGACCTATAATGGTTTACTTTTTACAAATTGTGACTTGGATGGAGAGTTGTCTCATTGACACTCATGCCACATCTTTTTATATCTATATGATGCAGATTGAAGTAGTTTTGTTAAATCTCGTCACTCGTCCTTTTTTAAGATCGATCACCGGACCAAAAAAAGGCACTATAAAAACATTAGAAAAGAGTTAAAACAGTTGTACGACTATTCACTTTTTTCTTTTTTAGCCATGGCGTTCTCAGTTTATTTTCGACTTATGAGTTTGAATGTCCGTCTGGTATCTGTCGCCTCTCTCTTTCACTGAATTCTTTTCGTCTACTTTCACTAACTGAGTCTTGATCGCTTGAGCCATTGTTCAACTGATGTTGACTTTATGTGACATTGAAAAAGAATAACAATAGTTAACTATAAGCAGAAAATTGAAAAATTGAATGTAAAATACAATAGTTGTCTCCCCTTTTTATTAATAATTTCTATTCTTTGTATTGTAGTGTTTGAAAAAAGTTAAACAATGTTTTACACCATAATTATACATGAACGAAGTACAGTGCAATGATTTTGTATTTCAAAAATGCTTTTGATCAGCAAAATTATGATTGTCACCCATGTTACCATTGTTTTTATATAAGTGTTTTACTGTACACTTGAGACATATTATCTTCTATTTACGAAAAGGGTATAAACATATTGCTTTGCTTTTTATAGCATTTTTACCTTAAATAATAAAAGTTCTTTTCAGAAGTGTGACTCTTTGCTATATTAAAGTCTATCTATGAAAAAGACAAGGAAGTTGTATCTATTTATACATTGTTTTCAATTCAGTCCCAGGTAAAATATGTTAAAGCAATCATTTGACTTTTTAAATACTTTCGTTATTTAATCATGACTTACTGTGTATGTTAAATATAGTAGTAGCTACTTCAGTTACCACATTGATTCCTTTCATTGGAGATCAAAGTTGTTACAATGGTTGATTAGAAGTCATGTGAAAAATGAAATATATAACTATGATTATATAGTTAAACTCCCGCGATATTTTAATTTGATCTATGAATACACCTTTCATGACTATAGTATATTTTGCCATCCTTCCAATTTCCCCTGATTTTTTTATTTTTATTTACAGGGTAAAACATAGAAATTTAATAAAACATATAAAAATGGAAAAGAGGGCATATATACTGTGTATTAACCGTAAACTCCCTTTACTAATTTTCCGAAGCAAAGGAAATTTATCAAAGTATACAAAAGTCATATAAAACTATGATACTGAAAATGTGTATAAACTAAGTTTTGAAAGTGACCATATTGCTAAATAAATTCAAGGGAAATTAATCCTATCTCTTTTGTTATTTTTTTTTTAACTCATGGTTCATCTCCATCGCGTATAGAGTTGAGACGACATTGACTTTTCTTTACACGTACTGTTTGGTAAGAGCAGTTCACATGTTTTCACGTTGATTCATTTTTTTTATCAATAGTATGTGCTTCAATAGGACATTCGGTATCTGTGATATTACGTTGCATAATCCGAGAAGTAGTAATATTGACGATGAGATTTTTCTCTTTAGAGTTTTTATATTCCAGATTAGGATTTTCCCATGTTTCTAGCAAGATATTTAAAACTTATCAACTTGACAAAAGCATACATATGCTCGATATTAACCTTCAGAATACAGTAACTCTCAACAGATTTGCATTACACCTACACCAATTATATCTATCAAAATAGAACCTGTATGTATGTATGTATGTATGTATGTATGTATGTATGTATGTATGTATTTATTAGCTACGTTCATCCGCACATTATGTATGTTCTCATCCGCTGCGCTCATCCGTCAAAAAAACCTTTTCCGATTACCTCAAAATAAAAACAACTGAAAACTTGTTTAGATTAAGAGACACACCAAAACAGTTTAATCAAATACATTATAATAATTAGATCGAAAAATTGTCCCAATCATCATGAAAAACCCCAATTGCATATATACATATCTTAAATTTTCCTTTAAAAAAATAGAAATGACGAAGAAACTGCTATCTAAATCTCTCAGACAAGGTTGACGAATGTTGAATTAAAAGACATATGAAGCTTCAAATTTAGAAAAAAGTTGAATATGTTTTATATACTTAAATGTCTCAGTTTTACCATAAAACAAGCGTACAGGGACTTTTTTTTTTTTATCAACAAACATCCTTTATCTTATGAAAATCTTCAGAAATGTCCTGCTATTGAATGTTTGTCTTCTCGTTCTCTAATTCGCCGATAACTTTTCCATATGCAGTGACCTTAACCATTATATCTCTCGTTAGAACTGCGACAACCGCACAGCGCAAATGCAAGCGGAAAACTGTGATTAAAATAATGTAAACAAACGTGAACTGGAGGTAAATAGTGTGTGTTCATTCTGAAAGAACAATTTAATTCACCAAATAATTTAAGAACTATTATGATTTACTTGATAGAGGGTTGCTGCTCACAAGGAAGCTATAATACCAAGAATTCCAAGTGGTGAAGTTGAAATCATCCCTTCGTAAATTTTTTGGACACAATCACGAGTTGGTTGACCATTATGGAATATCCGTTTCTTTCTCAGATGACAACGGATATGTTCCAATTGTCGTACCTACAATCCTGTCCCCTTTCCCCCGAATGTGACCTACCGAATTAGACTTATCAACGGGTTTGTACTAACATGAGCAACACGACAGGTGCCACATATGGAGAAGGATCTGCTTACCATGCGGTGCACCTAAGATCATCCCCGGTTTTTGGTGGGGTTCATGATGCTCAGTCTTGAGTTTTCCATATTCTGTTTCGTATACTCTTGTTTGCCTTTTGGTCTTTTTCTTTTTTTTGCCATGGCGTTGTCAGTTTATTTTCGACTTATGAGTTTGAACGTCCCTTTGGCATCTTTCGCCTCTCTTGTATGGCAAAGTTTTAATAAAAAATAGAAATGTATGGTAAATATAAAACAACATTAACATTGCTCTCTCAACTCACTTATCTTTTACGTGCTCCAGGATTCTGTGTTGATTTGTTTATCAATGTCACGATCCGGTAAACTTCGGCAACAAACCCGAAGATAAATCAAAATATAAAGTTTGCTAGCAACACTCATTGAAAGAAATGTTTTTGTCGATGATATATTTTGGGCTTGTAATAAAAGAATCAGTGTTTTGTTGACTTAGATTGGTGTATATTATATGCATGCATTGGTTCAATAATTTCCTGATCATCATAATCACAGGGATTGTTTCAATTGACTTTGAATATTCATTTTATGTCCTTTTTGGTCACAAATGCAAGGGAAAATCGAAAAATGTTTTTTTTATATTAAATAATGAAAATTAAATCAAATGTCAGTACAGATATTTAACGATTTAAAGTGCATTGAATAACAGAAGAAATGATCAAGATAATTCTAAAATAATGATGAAGCGTATATACGCATTTAATACATAAAATCGGTTGATGATACTTTTATTTTTGTTGACAGAAATAACTCGTATAATAGATTGTCCTCAATATCACGATGAATGAGTGATAGTGATAATTCATCATTCAATTCCTTTGTAGAGGGATTTATCAGCGAGTGTGAATTCATTAGAATTCGGATTATAAACTTAAACAGTGACGAAAAGCAAGTCAATTTTATCTTAATAATACATAAAAATGATGAGAGGACTTTCAAGAATTATTGGACAGTACAACAGACCACACCAACCACCAACACAGTAAAGCCTGTGTTACATCCAAGTGCATGATTATTATCAGTCGGAGGGCTAATATGGTGAAGACTAATGCATGTATAATATGAAGCTAATATTAGTCTGTCAAAAAAATGAACCCCAGTTTTAAGGTAAAAGGGGTGTCTAGGAATGCGTTTAACAAAAATAAAAAGAAAGGCAAAATTCACAAAAAGGACAAGAATCGTTGTGGTAAAAAGTATGTTAAACGTTACATATATTATATAAGCATGTATCATGAGGAAATGAAAAAGGCAGAATGAATAATGGTGTATGATACATTCAGTTGAAAACTATGTTTGATCAGTATAAGACATAGAAAAAGGGAACGAAAAAAAGCAACTTTATGAAATTTAGGCATCACTAGTTAACCGATGTCCAAATCTCATAACTCGGTGAAGAAGATACAAATCCAAATAAGAAACAAAATCTGAGTGAATCGCATGAAGCAAGGAAACAACCGTATGCAAACATTTCAAACAAATAAGCTACAGTCATTATATTAAAATAGGCAAATAATAACAATGACTTCCGAGTTGGTGCAATAGTTTTTATTAACATGCAGTATGTACGTCTAATTGCGTTGATGTACTCGGTGCAGAAATGATATTTCATTCGATCGGAGCTTTGAAACCTTGGCCATAGCTATTACATATATATCAGAAACTACATTTATGTTCATGTATTAATTACGAGTTACTTTGTAGAATGTGGAACAAAAAGATCATATATATATATATATATATATATATATATATATATAGGACCAAAGTAAACTGCATGAAACGTCTTATTACTCATAAGTATAAGATAAAAACTTATGTATACATCATAAGCAGATAATTACTGCTTCTCAAAAAAGGGATTTTCTATTTTGTGTTAGCCGGTAATCAAACGGGTTGCAGCATCGTTCACAGAAGAAATGAAAACATAAACGAAGCAAATTGGTACATAATAATTGGTATCATTATAAGGAAAAACTACTATTTATCAACTAATAATAAAATCATGTATCTAAAACTAAATTACATAAGAAAATAAATGTCTGTACCAAGTCAGGAATATGACAGTTGTTATCCATTCGTTTGATGTGTTTGAGCTTTTGATTTTGTCATTTGATTAGGGACTTTCCGTTTTGAATTTTCCTCGGAGTTTGGTATTTTTGTTATTTTACTTTTTACAAAATGTATATTAAAATATTATTTTGCTATTAGCAGTCAGTTTAGTTGTTCAATTTTATCAAAATACGCCCAAAAACATCTCTGATGTGTTATTGGCTTCATTTTAATAATTCAATCCAATTAGAATCCGAATCCGTGCTGCATTTGATAAATCTTTGTTGGGAATGAGTTGCACATGTGCTCAGCATGTTTAGTGATTGAAACAACTGTCGGCTGAAAAGATTAAACCAGGGAAACAGCAGTAGAAAGACTGTTATCGTTGAATGATTCGACCCGCTAAAAATAAGTTATATACAGGTTTTTAGAAAATGATTTACATTTTATTTGTATGTTTGTGCGTATTTATACATCCCTGGCTTTCAAATGTTTTGGTTGATCGTTCATGATGAAGGTTTACCCAGAAGAGCGCTTCGGACGCACAGAATTTATAAAGTGTTATTTTCATTTTTTTCTATGAAACGGGGTCATATCTCCATAGACAGTCTTCCTGGGTCATGTAGATATTTAATTGGATGGCGTCAGGAATACAAACGAAGTGTTGATATTTTATAACGATGCCAGACATTCTGTATTGTTTTATTTTTGTAGTTCTGGACTACGTTTTAATATACACTACATCATAGTCTCAATGAATTCATTCATTTAGCAGCTAATGTTCCTTGAATGAATTGCTTATCTACATATGCCTGTCATCAAGACTACGTATACTTAACGGCTGATGCATTGGTGATTCTTTGGGATATTTTACATGTTTGTCGCCCAATGGTATGAGTAAAGTCGATTATGCTATTGTAAGTAAGAGTCTCCTGACCTCAGTAACA